TGTGTGTGTGTGTGTGTGTGTGTGTGTGTGTGTGTGTGCGCGTGCGCGTGAGGTCGTGCGTGCGAGCGTATGTGTGTGCGTGTGTGTGTGTGTGTGTGTGTGTGTGCGTGTGCGCGTGAGGGCGTGCGTGCGAGCGGGGGCAGCGGAGGAGGAGGAGGAGGAGGAGAGGAATTACGGGTAAGAAAAAAGCCCGCGCTCAATGACGAGTCAAAATTACCTGCCGACGCAGCTTCAGAGTAATCTCTGTTGCAATCAGGCAATTTAATAAGCATCGATCGGTGATTAGACGGGCCGCCTGCATTGTTGTCTGCGCGCACGCACGCACGCACCCACGCACGCACGCGCGCACACACACACATGCACACGCATACACACACACGTGCGCGCGGATCGGCGCGTGGCAGACGCTTTCCTAATTCCGCGACTCCGGGCGGCGAAATTTTTTTTCCCACTTGAGTTCCGGACCACAGCCAATCAGCGCACTCCATTCACTCGACTTCCTCGAAGCAACAATGTAAAATGAATACCACCTAACCCTAACCCGTAACCGAACCCTAACACTAACTATCGTCCAACCATATATATATACGAACCATATATTACAAAACACTATCTATGGTGGGTCAGGAACTCAAGTGGGGAAAAAATTCCGACTCCGGGCCGGCCAATGCGTCGATTCATTACAATACGTCCAATAGGTTTTCCTTCGGCTTTGCCGGCGAAAGATCGCGCGGGTTTTTGTGTTTTGCCGTGGCAATAAGTCGTCTGCTCGAATGCGCGGCGGGATTTCTACCCTGCAACGGCAACGAAATGGCGCCGGAGTCGCGAAACCCTGGCTTCGTGCCTGCGTGCGTGCGTACGTACGTGATCATGAGCACCTACCGACAGTCGTGTTAGGATCGTACGGCCCGAGAGACTCCGCCGAAGTCGGCTTGGAGTCAACCAACGCGGTCTTTCCCGAGGCGCCCGCATTCTGAAACAGGCGGACAATAAAAATAAAAATAAACACTCAGCGGCAAAAGTCTCCGGCTCAGCGATGTCAAGCGAGTGAACATGCGTGTTTGTAAGACACAGGCGGATGTTACGCCGAGCGTACTGCCGTAGAGCCCGCACCGAGTTTCCTCCCCTCCTCTCCACTACGCAGGGGTCTCGTTCGACCCCAAGCAGTATAGGAGAAGACAGTAGTCAACGTACATTACGAGGGCGTGGAGCTCTCTCCCGCTCCATTACCGCTCTGCGGCCACGACTACGTGATGTAACTTCATATATAGCCAGTATGTGCGAGACCAGTGGGTGGTGCACTAGCACTGGTCACTGTGCCACCGTCACTAGGAACGTCACGCCTTATATACTAATGCTTACGTCAACACTAACGTCAATATAATACACACACAGAGTAGCAATACAGTATGAAATAAAATTCAAGAGATTCGTTTTATTAATTTAGTTATTGTTATTGTTAATATTATTACCTTATTATTATTTTTACGATTATTATTTGTTTTTTAACTACTAAATATATGTTTATCAAGTATGTAAAAACTACTTCGTGTGAACAGTAATCAGTACTGTCACTATTGTTTACGCTTAAAAATAATCAAGACTATGGACAGCAATGGATGCAATCGTAGCAACGTTGCAGTGTCACTAAACGTATATATATATATAAACATAAAATATGTCACGATGTCTGGGCAGAACTAAACTAAGCCTGCCATCAGACACACCGTAACAGATGCAAGTAGAAAATACTTCATTAGATAATAACCCCGTACGTGTTTATTCGGTAGAAGATATACACAATATACCTAATACCTTAGTAGAGAACTCAATATACCTTATCTTGCTCGGCAATTGTAAGTGGATGAGTAGTAGCAGACTACGTCGCTTATCAATCCACCTACTTCTATCTTAAAAATGTAATTGGCTTGCATATTTCTACTGACAGATTTTTCCGTCTTTCTACTGACAGAGATTGTTCCGTCTGTCTTGCGCTATAGCATAGCTCAGCGGCGAGGGAATGTGCGCAAGCCGTGGATGACATTTTGGCTGTTGGTAGTTTTTCGCTCAAATTGACAATCTACTCTTGCACGTCACGTGAGATGAACATTTTCTCAGTCAATATTTGTATGTGTGTATGTGTGTGTGCTATCTATATTTATTGTCCGCTAGATCTGCGGCGAGACCATCAGACATGTCACAACAATAATTTCAGCCGTCAATATGTGTGTGTGCGCGTGTGTGCGTGCGTGTGCGTATGTGTGTGTGTGCATGTGTGTGTGCGTGTGTGTGTGTGTGTGTGTGTGTGTGTGTGTGTGTGTGTGTGTGTGTGCGTGTGTGTGTGCGTGTGTGTGTAGGTGTGTGTGTGTGTGTGTGTGTGCGCGTGTGTGTGCGTGTGCTTGTGCGTGGGTGTGTGTGCGTGGGCACACACTATATTTATTCCGCCACGTCCACAACGGGGCCATCGTGCGAGAAGTCACATCAAGATGGCGAACATGAAGACCTTGCAGGAAAATTAACAAGATTCTTACCAAAGCCCGACCAGCGCGTTGAGTTCATAATGCTCATTACGACATTACGTTACGTGGCAATGCAACAGCGTGTGCGTTGCTCCGCCACGCCATCATATAACAACACGCTCCTGTGCGCGGGACATCGTGTTTTTGAGTAGGTTTCAAACGAACTCCCGCTATGTTAAAAACACAATTTCTATGAACTTTTCTAATTTTGTTAATTTTGTTTCTGCCCCCGCGCGCGTTTTTCTTAGTGCCGTCGGCTCGTTAAAAAAAACCGTAACACGTTCGAATTCACTAGCGCTGCATAAATATTCAAAATATGATTAAAATGCAATAAAAGTTCGGATAATTAGGAAACATTACCTGACGGCGAGCTAAAATTAAAAGCGAATAATTCAGTCGTGTGCATTATCCCTCCTCCCAAAAGTGGGGGGAGTGGGCGATGGAAAACGTTTGCAAATTGATTATTTTTTTATTTAATTAACTTGCCCTAATGAAATTCCATAATTAAAAACTTCACGGCTATATAATGAATATCGGAGTGAGTAACGGCATGCTTTTTACGGGATTCCTCAGAAGTCAGGTTCAAAGCCGGGAAGTGGCCAATAAAAATGACTTAGCGAAAACGCTTCCGACGAAAATCAAATCTTATTAGAACATTCTTGCCGCTGTCTATATATATATATATATATATATATATATATAGACATATGATACCAGTCCATCCGATCCATTTATTATTGAAACGGACCAATATGAAAAAAAATTGAACCTCGCAATGTCAGGAAGATTGCTGTAATAAGAATTGTCGACTATATTTTAAGTGGGTGTGCGTGCGATGGGGGATTACGTTGCTATATATATAGCAACAGGTGTCAATAGATTGGAACCAAGAGAATGGGTGAAATTAATTCAAAAAGAGAAAAAATGACAAGTAAATTGTAACTGATTAAGGTAACTGAAGATGAAATGTGAAAAATTAGTTGTACACCGTGTTAATCTATAGAGGCATGACAATAGAACAGCCATTAACGACAAAGAAAATGTTGTTTTAAGTAATAACATTAAATCTGCCCATTTTTATGTCATAGCACTGAACTTAAACATATTGCCCTCTAACCTTCTTTCTTTAAATATGAATTTTGAAGAAAGAAGCTGCATCGGAGCCTGAGTCATAAAGCATAAACCTCCGCATCAAACCCACTGTGTAATACAATAGGAGAAACTGTTCCACATTGCCACTTCTCAAGTATGGAGCATAGCAATCCAGACTCAAGAAATTGATTTGTCAAACATGAACTTTATTTTCAACTCCATAGCAAATAAGTATATGTTTAACACAACATCCCTGAAAGGCAAACTGGGTTATGATATTAGATTTTTAACGAGAAAGATGCAGATAACGTGATACCTGATAAGAACATGTAACGTATAAAGAAATATTATAATGCAATGGCTTTACCTCGTATACGACCGGACGGGCATTTATTTCAATAAAACCAAGCATAATATCTGTCATTAACCTGTGTTATCGGTATGTTAATGGAGTCTGCATAATACCGGACGTTACGATTTTGCATGAGAAATTACATTCGCATAGTTTAAAACGGACAATTTCATCTGTAGTTTTACTTATGTATATATATACATATATATAAAAATATATATATATATAATGTAATATATTTTAAACTATTTTGAATTCGAACTAATGAATTATATCAGAGATATTCCAAACAGAACATTCCTCCAATCCCCCCTCCCCACCTGATATTCGTCTTAGAGTGAAAGCAGAACCCCCCCCCCCACCGTAAGAGTATAAACCTTGATGACTCGCAGAATAAGTCCATCAGCAATCTACTATAATAAAGCCAGCCGCCTCGCACGCCTCGCCCGCCGCACCGACTGACAGCCATAAATCTTCGTGATGCCCAGTAATGGGTCGGGCATTTACTTTCGGATTACTCCTAATACCTATTCATATTTCGGTGTCTGCTCTGACAGCGACAGATAACATGACAAATTGTGCTAGACTGCTGCGATCGCTATATATAACGTCACTTGCCCATGACGCGACAGCGGCAAGCCAGCAGCTGCATGTACACGCTGCAATTTAACACGCTGCAATTTAACACGCTGCAATTTCCTCACGAAGCCGCTCGAAGGATATTTCCGCATCGACGGCCGGCCGACGCACTCGGTCGCCTCTCGTATCGACGATGTTTTCAATGTTTTACGACGCGGCGGCGCATTGGTTACCAGATTGGAAACGGTGATCGGCAGTTTTGCGGGAGTTAATAGCGGCAGACAGGCGCATCACGAACGACTGCGTGCTTGGTTGGTTGGTTAGTCACTACACGCAACCCATTTACAGTTCTCGCGCACGTGTGCTTACCTTTATATTACCCTGGTCGAGAGCTCCTACTTTGGTCTCCTGGCCCTGCGAATAATATCACACACACACACACACACTGCTGTTAGTTTCGAATAACTTATATAGTTACATTATACAACCATATTTATGCCTATACTGATATTTGTTTCATTGAAAAGTGTCAGTGGTGCACGTGAAATACAGTTATGATGCAACTAGGTAGATAATGATAATATCCGATCATAATTTATTATACATAGGCCCCCCCTATGTATAAATATATATACATATTATATACACACATATTTATATATAATATAGAGCAAAATATTAATAAACGATACTTTTACACAATACTGATTTGGCAAATAGAAAAATGCCAAGTACATAAAATATATACTATAGTTTGAAATCATATTCGTACTTATTGCACCAATCGTATTTCTACTGTACCCCTACTGTCCTTTGCTGCAGCACAACAGACGTATATATATATACTTCAATACAGTTTTATAAGCTCTGTCCTTACTTGCTTTGAAATTGCTGTAGAAAGTTCAAAAAGAGAAAAAAAGTGTAGCAAGTGATGTAGTGACGAAACACAGAAAAGCACTAAGTCTTGCCATTCATGTGAAAATGGCTTTGAACAAATTTGACACGAAAGTAATAGAAATTGCATGTGCCATAATCCTGTCTGAATAACCTTTTTGGCACCATTAAACAGAATGAAAAAAATGTAAAAGAATTTTGCTAAACCTTTCTAAAACTACTCTGTGACACCTGATGAAGAGATATGTCCCCTGGCTGCCACCATTGTTATCACACAGAACATACACGGTTTTTCGCCAGCTTTCTCGTGCACAACAGCAAATCCGACAGCACAGAATTTATATATCCCGCAACGCCACCTAGTGTCTCTCCGTGTGCCACATGCAAACTTGCTACACTACGTCATTCGACAAACCAAGAAGGATCTGCTATTCTGCCTCATTCCCTCGACTGTTTCGCGTACGTACTACGTAGGTTGATACTGTTATCAGCATATAGGGTATACGCCACCTATAGAGGCTTATGCTCATATATTTCGGATCCGCCAGGAAATTAACTACGTACGTTACTGATAAAGTGCCTATGAATCTATCTTCCAAACTTACTCTCTGACAGTGCGTTAATTTTACAGCTGATATTTTATTACGATTTCACTGGCGTCCTGGAGTGGTCATTTTTCACAAGATTATTTGGTTCCGGCATAACCAATGCAAACACATCTGGCTACGGCAACTTGCAGGATACAGCCATGGTTAGATGTAGGCACGGAACCAGCCGAGGTGTAGTGAGTGGGCAACTCACGTTATACAGCCGATGTTAGCAGTAGGTACAAAATCAGCTGAATTGCGACACGTTACACTATTAGCACATGAACAAACTCACAGTTTGGCCAGTGGGCGTTGAAACAGCAGAGCCAACCTCTGTCTCCACTTGCTTCTGAGGGTCAACGGGCTGATTCCTGTGCAGCGAATCCTCAAAGCTCTGTCACCACAAGAAAAACGGAAAACGCACATCAATCACAGAGCTAGCCATAGCAAAGACCCTACATACCAAGCCGGCGCACTTCCTATTCTTTGCATTGTAATCACAATTTAGAGTCAACACAGTATATGGGATATTTGGCCATAGTGGGGTAATGAGGGACGTGGCATGTTGTCAACTACAACGTTCCAAAGTTCCCATGCCGTCACATGTAATCACAAGATCAAGGGTGATCGTTGACTCCATGTTACCGGTAGCGATCGAAACGAAGGGAAAATCCAATCTCTTAAAGGTTATGATTATGCAAGCACATATACAATTCTAGAAGCTTGATGCGTGTTCCCCACCATAACACTGAACGGTGGATATCCAGAGCAGCATCAGCTATTAAATTACTAGCTGATAGTAAATAGGAAAACTTCCCTTCATACTGTCATAACGGCACACATACTTGTCCCCATCGCTAACTGTGGATGAAAGTACACAAGCCAAGTAGAGCGTGCGATCTATCAGTATTTTCCCCGGAGCCTCATTATAAGAGCTAAAGGCGACCGATTCATACTTCACCTAAAAGTGGGTATGAGTGTGTTTACTGTTTACATCTCCCATCGGATCACACGAGGTAATTTGTTAGTCGTTAGTTAACGGCTAGTCATACGAACAATTGCAATCTGGTGTGACCTTGGCAGAGGGCATATCAGAGAAATACCGCGACTGCTGTCGTGACTGCGTTCGACTAGAAGCAAGCTGCCACGTACGTAGCTATCTCTCGCGCAGTGTTCCTCCATTAATCACCAGTATACTTGTGATACTTGTGACTGAATGCATGTATAATATATGTACATATATATATATACATATCAGTTATCGAGAAATGCCAAGTGCCCACGAGTATTTATACGTCTTTTATCACTGTTATCTCGTGTCTTTATAAACCGAGGGCTTACGCGCCCGTATCGATTTAATTTCTAGTGCTGCACTCATCGTTTTGCCGACTTAAATGACACGTGGCACAGCTGAAATAGTTTCCCAGTTTTTTTTTACTCAGACGCTACGCTTAATTTCTTCGCCAAACGTCGCCGACAATCCGATCTCGACTGTTAGCTCTCGAACATCAAAACCACTTCTCTACGTTTCCTTCACCAGCCGTCTCACGCACCAACTTCAACGCGATACACCCGTGAACGCCACAACCGCACGGCAAAATCCAAGCGACAGATCAGGCAGGCAGCTCACACACCACGCGCCGTACAGAACTCGACACGAACGCAATAACACAACTGTTGACGTAGATAAGAGTTCGTGAAAGGTTTCAGTGATTTCGCAAACGATTTCATTTCGGTGTGTGCGAGCTTGTCTCGATTCGGTGACTTGCTGATATGCAAGCAATTCCGGTTATTGTAGTGGTAGTGTGGTGTAGTGGTAAGTATTGTAGTGGTAGTGTGGTGTAGTGGTAAGTATTGTAGTGGTCTCAAAGACGGGAATGGTATGAGAATGGTACACGAGAACGGTCAGGAAGACTGTTTGAAATCACTACGTAATTTAAAAGTAGCACATTAGCATCACCATGGTAACACAAGCAAGCAAGGACAATAATGATAACGAAAGATATAGCCTTTATCACCCATCTGTTCTACCCACTATCAATTCTGTACGTTTCAGTGTCCACTGTCTCATCTAACTTTAGACTAAGGTCAAGGTCACTAGTTAATGTGATCGATATTTCCCACCTCGGGTTTTCTTGCGGCCCAAAGTTGCCAAAGTCAGTGAAATCCTTTGATCACATTGCAAGGTCGAGTCAATATTTTCGCAGCAAGTTTCAAGTCTTACTAACTTTACTGTTAGGGTTGTATTCCGAGAGCAAAGTCACTAATTTAGACGGTATCCAACTCGGATAGTTTCCCATCGCCACTTTTTTACCGTCAAAGTTAAGAACGTAATCAAACTGTATTTGCGGTAGCAGCCTTTCCTGCTTCTACTCTTTCTGCTTGCTTTTGTCTTTTGAGGCTGCTCGTTCTGCCGCTGGAGCCAATACTCGTAATTCTGTTGCCACAGAAACAAGTGAGCAGACTTCATTAGCGCTGCTAGCCGGGCCAGACGAGTGGGATGCAGCACAACTACGCGGTTTTTCCTGTTGGCATACGTAGGCACCAGACCATTACCGATCATTTCCTTCATGCAACTAGCGACAATATAAAAGATTGATCTCAATCGTGCCACTATGATGCAAGCTTGCCAATCAAAGCCATAGAGACATTGTCAGAGCTGACACCGAACACGAGCATCCACATAACAATAGCAAACTACCGAATTAGGCAGCGCAGCGTGAACAGTAAAATTCTCGCACTTGTCCTCTTAAATTTTAATTCATCCTGTGAGAGGAGGACTGGGGTCTCCGCACGAAAAACGAGGCTAACTAGGGCAATTTTTGGAAACATGGCTTGCTCCAGGCAGGCAACGCACAAAGGGGTTACACGCACGTAACACGGCGGTACAATGACGCACAGTACAACGCAGATACAAGCACGTACACATGCGGTACACGGAAATAGTGTACACGCGCCGTACACGCAGGTACGCACGTAGTACACGCGGTTACAGTGCGCACGGTGAGAGAAAGAAATAAAAAGACGGCAGATACAAGACGGCACGTACAGGCGGGTACCCACGTACGTCAACTCACGATACCAACGTACAGCGCAGATACCACGCGCACGTAACAAGGTACACGGCGGAGATAGACACGGCACGTACATCAGCGCGGGTACACGGAGATTGACACTGACACGTAACACGCGGGTACACGCAAGGTCCGCACGTACCAGGCGTGGATTCGTCCCGCCAGTCGTGTGCCGCACGTACATGTACAACACGATACACCGTACAGTCAGACGCGGGTAAGCATCGGAGATACAAGGTACGCACGTACACGCCGGTACATCGCGACGTACACGCGAGGGGGTACAGCGCACGTAACGCCGGGTACACTGAACCGTAGCATCGCAGATACACGCGACGTAACACGTGCGGGTACACCGAGATACAGGCGCACGTACACGTGGTACACGCACGTCACACGCAAGGTACATGCAGGTACAGGGGCCGCGGTACACCGCGACGTACACGCAGATACACGCACGCGCGGGTACACGCACGTACACGCAGATACAGCGCCGCACGTACACGTACACGCAGATAGCACGCACGGTTACAGCGTAACACACAGATACAACAACCTGCGTTACACGGCATGTACACGCCAGGGTACGCTGAGAAAACATGTACGTACATCGCGGTACACCACGTACAACCGACCCACGCGGGTACAGTTCCCGTACGTACAGACCACGGTACACGCAGATACAATGACACGCACATGTATGCGTCACGTGCGCTGTACTCCGCGTGTACGTGCGTGTACCCGCTGACGTGTGCGTGCGTTGTATCTGGCGTGCACGTGCGTGTACGGGCTGCGTGTACCTGCGGTACGTGCGTGGTACTCCCAGCGTGTACGTGCGGGTGTATCATCCGTGTACCCGCGTGTACGTGCGTGTATGCTGCCCTGTATCGTGTACGTGCGTGTATATGCGTGTACGTGGCGTGTATCTGCGTGTAACCACGGTGCGTGTCGTGCGTGTACCCTAGCGCTGTAACGTGCGTGTATCTCCCCGTGTACGGACCTGGTGTACCGTGCGTGTACTCCGTGAGACCGCAATCCGTGCCACGCTAACCGCGTGTACGTGCGTGTATGCTGCGTGTAATGCGGCGTGATCTGCGTGTACCCCGGCCGCGTAGTACGTTGCGTGTACCGTGCGTGTGACCGCACCGCGCGCGTGTCACGTGAGTGTATCGGGTGACGTATACGCCGCGTGAATACGTGCGCTGTAATCTGCGCTGTACGTCGCGTGTATCTGCGTGTACGTGCAAGATGTAACAACGCGTGTTAACGTGCGTGTATCTCCGTGTAACCAGAAAACAATCGGCGTGTACGGAGGGGCGCGAGACGTGCGTTGTATGCTGCGTGTAAGACGGGCGGTGGAACACGATGGCCGTGTACAGCAGCCCTCTGTGCGCGCGCATGCCTGAGCAGCCGCATACTGTTTACGAAAAATTAGCCCTAGCGTTAGCCTCGTTTTCCGCGATGCGTGAGACGCTGGCCCCAAGTCATGAAATAGATAATTAAGAAGGGTCTAATCAGGCAGGCCAAGCACGTGACCAGAGCTTGCGCCGCTATGCATTGACTAACAGTGACTACAGTCAAATATACCTATCAACCACTTGCATCTTGTATTCAAACGGTAGACTTTTCTACGGTTTAATAAACACCTGTTGTTACTACGAAATGAAGTTCAATGCGAAAACTAAGACTTCACTCGTGTGTTGGCTACGGGGTATTAAAACCTCAGAATGGTGCTCGGTAGA